TATATATATATATATACACACACACACACACATATATATATATATATATATATATATATATATATATATATATATATATATATATATATCGTAATCATAATATCGGATATCAACGAATTAATTATAATATTTGATGACATTTCAATGTCAAAAATTCCAACTGCATTTTTGTTTACTCACGACAGAAACTTTTTACTAGAATTGTTTTAAAAAATACAAAATAGTTATAAATTCTTTTAAATCTTAATGTCAAAAGATTCCAAACGCATTTGTACCTATTCGGGATAAATATTTTCTATTAAGATTGCTTAAAAAAAGCTCAAAGTGGTTAAGATCGTTTGTAAGTATATTTGACTGACTTGCGCACAGAAATATAGTGCCTTCTAAAATGTCTTATAAAAACGTATATTTTAATTGATACCAAACTGATACTGAATCGCCGCGAACGTTAAAAGTCTCTACTGATATTTTAATTAATTAATTGGTGTACTTAGAAATTTATTATGTTAGATATATATTATTATAAGTTTCTTATTATCACACACTATACTATTATATTCCCTGTATCACTACAATTCTTTCTGCTCTTATTATTCTGCAAAAAACTATTTTATTATTATAGTATAGATAGTTTATATATATATATACATACATACACACATACACACACACACAACTGTTAATTGAAATTGTTTATTCTATAAAAACAGGTAAAATCTACAAAAGTATATGTGTGTATTTGTAAATACTTACATACAAGAATATTTTATTAGACATGATATTGAGATCATCTTGATTGAATTAAACCCAAATCATCACAATTGGATAATCTAATAATTATTTAATGTTACATTGCCACAATCTGCGAATCTATTATATATTTATAATAAATGTTAGTTTTTAAATCAATGTTGCCTCAATTCATAAATACAAGTGTGGCATATAGAAATAACTTTGTATGTTCTATTCATAAAAGTGCCTTATTAGTTTTCTACAAAATTGTATATAGAAAAAATACCATAATCATTAAAAAAAAATATTGATTGAGATATACTGTTTATAATAATAAATCCTTGTGCCAAACAGTCTGCCATTGTCATCAACTTTATCAAAGTAATATATAGGTACTAATAAGAATAGTGTTAATTGACAAATCCTATAATATATTTAAAATCTAATACATATATAAGATTATTCCTTAAAGAACAGATATTGTCAAAGTATATTTTCAGCAAATTTTTTAAAATGCAATGGACAAATTTGTAAAACAGCTCATACAAGTAAATACATGTGCAATCTCTTATGTACTTCCTCCATATTTGTAATTTTAGTAACATTTATACATCTGCAAATAAAAATTGTTCATTATATTTAATCAAAATATTTTCCTATAAAATATGATTATCGCAATAGTATTCTTACCTAATAATAACTGTATGAGATTTCTTGATTCCTGCAACATCAATAATTTGTATAAATTTTTGATATTATAAGGATTTTTTTTTACAAATTGCATAAATTATAGAATAAATTTGTAATAAAACTTTCACAAACATTTGCCTATGTGCTTAGTTGAAAGGTAAATCTCAAGTAAAACGTCAGCTCTTCTTTGTTTCTGTTTTCTCTATTTTAACAGAGCAGTTGTCATCATTGGAGTTTTGTATCGTTGCTTTTGCATCACAATTTTTATGGAATGCATTAAATTCTTCTTTTGTAACAGCTTCATAGTAGCCATCTATATCATTTATTATCTTTTTCACAGTTTCTCCTTTCAGTGCCATAAGTTTTTCAATATTTATCTTCGTATTTATCTCTGTAAACCATCCTAAATTGTCAGCGATAAGATGATTGTTCATGCAACCGTCACATCTCACTAGTACGACTCCTTTATTATACGCCAACTTTGATATTATTTTACTGTTTCTTGTGGCGCATCTTTTACATGTAAACATTAGTTTCATTTTTCCCTCTAGTTTACCCAGCTCCTTGCGATCACTGGCATCTCCGTGAACGAGACGATCGTGTTGGAATATAAATGTATTACTCGGTTTACGTATAATTGGAGTACAACGGTGATACGCGGAGTATCGAGCACACGTAAAACGTACGCTAAAACGTAACACTTCGCGAATGCAAAACATATTGAATTCGTATTTTCGACGCTACTAGATTATCTTATTATTAAATAGAGTAGCAAAAATAAATTAAACGTAAGACCAGTATAGGTAATTGTGCAGTTTAGAATCCACTTCCAATTTGAGCGAAATTCAACAATATTGTGTATCTTCACGCGTAGAAATCGAATATGAAAGTTAAAACCGTTGCACTGTCTCCTAAAACGAGATATTAAACGTTCAAGTTAAGGAGTATCATAGGTTATGAAACCTGTCATAGTGACGAAACGTAACATCATATGCGCATGCGAAGTCAAAAAGTGCGCGAATTTGAAACGTTGTCGAGTACGACCAGGGAGCGAAGCCGTCAAAAAACAATATGATAATAAAGAAGTATATAAATCTTGTCAAGCATGCTATACACGCAATGCTTTTGGAGGATTCATAATACGTCCTACCGTAGAAATGTTGCTGATATCTTTTCAGTATCTACTACTTTCAAGTCTGGTTGCACCAATATTATTGTGACTTTAAGCGAGATTTCCCTAATAAAAATTGTTCTCCCTGGTAAAAATAACGCACAGAAATAGACAGAAACGGACAGGATTTCTATCCTTTTCTGACTGTAAGCTGTCCGTTCTATCTGCAAATATAATATGCGGATAGAAAATCCGCATTTGCAGTAGTAAATTCTATCCGTTTCTGTCCGCAATTTTTAGTAGGGTTAAACATGTGTATATCTTTATCTTTTTTCTAAATAAATAAAGGGAGACATATATTTAAGTCTCGCTTAAAATCAAAATAACATTGGTAATTGTTAATATAATTGAGCCTCAGTTGTATATGACTAGCCACACACAAAGGGGATAAACTCTCCAAAAATATAAAGAAAAATTATTTTTAGTATATTTATAGACTTATCTATTTAATAAAGTGAAGATATAATAGATATAATTATTTCTCAATAGCTGCGTTCAGCAGGACGCAACGGTAACACAACCATTATATGATTTTCTGCTGAATAGAGAGTTTTCGCAATATCGTGTCTTAGATACGATAACGCTAAAGTTTCGATATTCAGTGTCAGTATTTCAAATCTATAGGATACGTAACATAAACTGTATATTCGCAATATTGGCAAGTGAATATTGGAACGCACCTTAGCGTTACCGTATCTGAAAGACGATATTGAAAAAACTCCCTGATCTCTCTCTTATCCATGTTAGAAAGAGAGAGGTACATATAATTTTTGATAAAAATTTATTTTGAATTTTCTTATAATTTACATATTATATCGCGTACATTTTTATAAATTATTAACATTCTAAACAAGGTGTAAAATGGAATTTCTTTTAACATGAGAAAGAAAAACTTTTCACAATTTGTATTTATTATGCATTAATATGTGTATATATATACATATACGTACATATATATATGTGTGTGTGTGTGTATGTATTTGTATTTATTATACCAGAATAGGTACGACATATACAGTAACTTTTAGAACCTGTAATGCATGTCTGACAAGTGATAACATGATTGATAGTAAAGCACACAAGTACTAACAAATGCTCTGTAAAATGTAGAAGATACAACAAAACTTACTGGAAATATAAAAAAATAATTAATATCTACGGATATAATTAAACTATTTTTTAATGAAATAAAATAGTTATTGTTTGCAGAGGAAGCATAAAGTATTTCTAAAAGATATTTGCATAAATATTACTAGATTGTCTTGATTCACTTGATTATTTTGCAAAAAAAGAAAAAATGTTAAATACATAAAAATGTAGTAAAACATATAATATAGACAAAAATTAAATGCCAAAATCCTGTTAGAATCTATAAATCATATAAACCTATTTTTATATGATTAGAATAAGATATAGAATAAGATATAAGAGATTGATATAAATCTAAAAATAACAACAGATATATATATATATATATATATATTAGACCATGAGGTCATAATATCACCCGTTATATAGGAAGCATATTTATCTGATGTCAATGTATCCGATTCATTCCAGCTGAACAGTAAATTAAGTTTAAAATAAGAAAGAAAAAATAACATAAAATTATTCAAATTACAGCTTATATTAGTTCGTATTTATAAATTTTAGACTATATCATCTCTTATATTTTGAGAATTATGAGTAATTTTTTAGTTTGTTTTACGTATCGTTTCACTTATCGCTTCTAATCGCTCAATAACAGATGGATGAGAGTGATGCCAACTTGAATACAACTTGTCGTATAGAGGAAATTCTAAATTATCTTCCTGTAATTTTAACAAAGACGTTTTTAGATCTTGACCATGACCTAATGTCGTGGCGAATTTATCCGCTTGGAATTCGAATTTTCGCTGGATCACCACACTAATAAAATACAGAATCTAGAATTGAGACAAAAAGTTTTAGTAAGTGTTTGTAAAAAATTATTTAATCTGCAATATAAGATTGGCAGAGTATATATTAGATACTGTACTTACTGTATTCAATGGTATCATAATATATGTCATTACTATAATAAAGCCAATTAAGATAGGTTGAGAGTCAACAAATCCAAAAGCTCTATACATTGGAGTATATTGCATAAGTTTTGCAAATATTAAGATATCAATTGCAACAAATATCTGAAAAGAGATATACACATGTATATATAGAAAATATATATATTTATAAATAGTAGATATAAATAAAAAATCTTTGTAAATATAATATGGTTATGTAACTATGTTATATTTACAATATTAACAAAGTTTTCAACATTAATATATTGTTATTAATATATACCTAATTTCACAATAAAACATGCACTACAATAACTCATCTGCCAAACAAGTTAATTCAAAAGATGGACTAATTGATTATAAAAGAGATTCTTTTTTTTAATCATTACTTACCAAGCTCAAGCCATAGCAATTATGTAATTGATGAAACAGACAATACTCCATGCAGTAACTACTCCCAAAATATGCTATTCTATACTAATTCTAATATATCCTAATACAAATATTACTTAAATGATAATGATTCATAACAACAAATAAATATCTTACAATGATACTTGGAGTAGTAACTATAACAGTATTATTTATAGTATTAAGTCGCTACAAGATGAAGCAATACATAAACGCAAGTAAACCATAAAACTACTTTTATACCTGTCCGAATATGAATCTCTTCAAAGTGTGATTGTGTTTCCAATGACCCAATTCATGTGCCAATACTGCCAGTATCTCATTTGTTTCACAACCTTTGTCTTTGTCCTTGTCCTTATCCTTATCCTTGTCTTTGTCCTTGTCCTTATCCTTATCCTTGTCTTTGTCCTTGTCAGCATCACTGTCATTTTTCTTGCAATATCCTTTAATAAGTGTATCAAAGAGAACAATTCTCTTATGTTTATGGAAACCGTACATGTAAGCATTGCTATGTGTTGACCTCATAGAGCCTTCAACTATAAACAGTTTTTGTAAAGGAAACTTTAAAGAGGCTGCTAATTCCTCAATCTTTTGTTTCAACTCGCCATCAGGTAATGGCGTGTACTTGTCAAATAGTGGTGCAATCAATTCTGGATATATGATCATCACAAGTAATGAGACCACTATTATCATTATCCATAAGTAAAAGTAGAAGTAATCACCACCATTCTGAATAATCCATAACATGAGGCATAGCAGAGGGGACACAATCATTTCATACACAATAAATTGTTTAATTGTATCTTTAATGAAAAATCCAGCTGTCTGAAAAGGAATATTAGTACGTATTAATTATAGAGATCTTTTTTTTTTCAAGAAAGTTAGTGTTTGATTATCAAAACAAAATATTACACAAATACACTCACCTGTTTATTAAAGCCATACTTTTCCTCCAAAACAAAAACATGATATATCGTTAATGGAAGATTAAGCACTTTAAGAATAAAATTCATAGTAAATACGAATATGGGACTTAATAATATCGTATTCTCATGATCGATACCACAATATTTGGCTACATAAATGCTCCATTGCCAAACATGATAAGGTCCATAAGTTAACAAAATTATCTAGAGAAATATTAAAATGTCATGTACAAGTTGATTAGAAGATAAAAGTCATTGTAATCTCCTCTATTTTATATAAACAGAATATACAGAAATATATTTTTTATATAAAAATATATTTACCACATTCAAAATATCCGAATGTATGTTTGCAACAATATCAAAGCTATTCTTATCTAATGCATATGCACGAGCCTTGTCATATGTATCTTTGGTCATTATACCTTCAACTGATTTTGGAAAATCAACTAACCTCTGTATCAATGTTCTCTGTAATACACACACATTTTAAAAAGTTAGTAAAACTTTTAGATTAAAAAACCTTTATTATTTTATAATATTCATTCGCATAAAATAATTATATAATCTCTTATCAATTCTATACATTACATTGCATCACATGTAATAAGAATTATTGCAATTAAAAAAATGAAGATATCTATGACTTACTTGACGCCAGTCCAAATAATAGTGCCATAATTGCAATAGCCACATCATACATAAAATCGTTCCAAGGAAATGTTCCTCAATAAAACTTATAAGCACCTCCATATTTCGGCAATAACCTTAATACAATATTACCTTTATTGCGCTATCATATGCCATTAAATTAAACTCGCCGATTGCCGCCAGTTACGCCAGTGTATGTAAATAAATCTGAGAGCCGCCTTGCTCAGAGCAGAAAGAAGAAGGAGAAGGGTTATGGGCCGGTTTTAGCTAATCCCGATTTCAGCTGAATGGTTACAGCTCCTCTAACCAACCGTGCACATAAACTACGTAGTCAATATACACGAATTGTCTCAGTGGATAAAGAAGTAATGTCCACGACGTTAGTTAAACAAAGATAATCAACACTATTTGTTCTTGTCTCATCACAGGCGAGAAACAATCGTAGCGGTAGACAAAGAGGCGAGTTAGCGACGATCTTATCATTAAAGAAACATTTCGCTCAGCTATTGACGCATTGCGTTACTCGTAATTCCGGAAGAATTTTCAAATTTACGTTTTCTTCATTGTCATTGAGGAATATTCTGTATGGGAACACTGAGTTAAATACAAGAGAAGGAAATAATTTTAATTTGGCGATATTAACTTTCGGAATATTATTGTTCGTGGTTTTGGGTCGACCTAAGGCAATCAAAACAGACGCGGAACGCGTAGCGGATCTAATAAAATTTTGTCTTCCGCGTTTCCGCACTTCATGTAATGGCACCCTTAAAGCAGGGTCTACAATAGAAGTCTAAAGTTGTAAATTGTAAAAATTGATCAATCATAGTGGGATACGAGAAGAATAATCAACCGCGATTGGTCAATGTCTACGACTTCTATTGTAGACTCCGCTTTACGACGCTTGCGACGCTACGATACGACCAATGTGGATCGGCCTTTAGAACCTTTTCGACGAGTCCTCTGTAGGAACAAATGTTAATTTCGAACTCTCCAATTCGGAACGTCGTTGGTAATATAGGCCGCTACAATCCATCTACACTACGACGAAACATTTCGATGCACCTTGGTGCACAGCGTCAGTAGGGTTGGGAATGCCGTGGCAGCAGATGTAAGCAGATGTAAACAAGAATTTAGTTTGAATGTTCGTTGTGTGTAACGTAAATGATCGTAACTGTCATCAACGAGAAACACAGTGTGTGATAGAATAGAAATTTTCGCCGTTTACTGTGGGAAAGCACGAAGAAGCACAACATAATTCTACAACTGTTATGCTCCTGTTACGCGTTGAATGTAAAGTATCGCGTTCTTGTGACATAACCTAACGGGCTCTCGTCATTAATAAAAGGCGACGCTCAAACATTCGTGAATATCAAAGAAGTCCAGATTTCGACTAGTCGTCGTCGGCTGTGTCAGCCGAGTCGAGAGAACTCACGGAGCGACGAAGAACACGAATGAGACCCGACGACCGAAAATGTAAGAGAATGCTCAACAGACCGCGAGTATGGAATACGATTCGGAATCAAGTTGCGAGGGCCGTTGTACGAAGGACTTTGAGAATGTGGACGAACCGGCGCGCTTGACGGAAACGCATGAGAAATGCGATCGACGCAACCGCGTCCTGTGCCAGACGTCTGCTTTGCAGACCATGTCAGAGCAATCGAAATTCAACTTGAATCCAGCCAGTAAGAGCCTTTCTTCACAGGTAATGGAATATTATCACAAGTACTCCCGAAACTCCAATCTGGATCAGTATTTCTCCCTACCGAATGCTCCACAGGAGGCTGTCAAGTATTATTACAGCGTGTACGAGTTAAGTGCTAAGGTAGGTTCATCTAACAGGCAAGACTGCATCGGAGAGGAGTACAATTTAAAGTCCTATGTCCCAAGAGAAAGACGTCGATGGGTAAGGCCTCCGTTGATTGGACAGTCCTCCAATACAGACACCTCATCCAGGTATGTTCAACCGTTGACAGATCTCCAAACACCGTCACCTGATCTGAAATATGATAAGCCTGAAACAATACACGAGGAAAAGAATGAGAGTCCAGAGAAGCTACCAGAGATTGCTGACAGAAAGCTGTCCTCCCCAACCTCCAGTGTAGCCTCTTACAAGCCACTGGAATGGGACAGTGGTGCAGATGTCGGTTACTTCAATTCGCATTCTCAAAACAAGCACAGTGACAAACGCTTAAGCACCATAGAACGCATGGCTTTGGCACGAGGATGTTCAGCTGCTTTGCGATTAGATCCAGAAGGTACTACCGAATCCGGGATGCATTCCGGGAAGATCACAGTGGCACAGAGTGGTCCAAAATTGTCATCGATCCCCGACGCCAATTCCACACCGTTGATCGAAAATGCGTCAGGATCGGAGAGCGAAATAGAGATAACGCCCATTGTGAAGAATCACTTGCCAGGAATCATTACGGGCGACAACATCAAGTCACAGGAGAGGTGTATTTTGAACGACGCCGTGCAGCAGAAAGCTGCAATGAAATCCTCTGTACGAGAAGCAAATAATTTCGACACGCCCACGTCATCCACGTCTACATTTAAAGTGCCATTGATGAAGTACTCGACTGTAGAAAAAAGATCTATGAGCAGACGCAAGGAAACCTCGTCCCTGTCGAGCTCTCTGTTGAAGAAAAGCATCTCGATGAACGTGTTACCTGCGTCATCGACGAAGTCCTCTCTGAAAAGAAGTCAGAGCGAGCTGAATCTACACGCTAAGGAGAAGAAAGATATGTTGCCTCTGATATTTGACTCCACATCTTCTATCGCCACTGTAGTGAATAAACCTGCAACTTGCGATAAAGTAATACAAACCAGTCCGGAGGTGTGCGCCCAGGAATCCGTTGGCGTTCAGGTCTCAGATCTCGACGATAGCAAGCTACCTTTAGCGGAGGGTGATCCCAATTTGCAAGCGACGATACATTCCATTTTGAAAAAGTCCAAAGGCACGTATAGGGTAAAAGGTTCGAAGAAATGCGACGACTCGCGTCCAGTGGACGAGCCGGATAGCAGCGCGAACACGAAAGAAAATCAGAGACAGCGAAGCAGTTCCGGAGAGATCTCGCAAAACGCGTCTACGTCGGTGACGCCGCAGCCCGACGAGACGGAGAATGTATCCGGACGGGCGAACAGTTTCGAATACTTCCCCGGCCACACTTACGCGAATGTTCCAAGCGGGAGGGACAGCCACGTCTCCTCGGACACGGGTAGATCGAACTCCACGTTACCGAACAGCAGTTCTAGCATCAACGAGAAGCTGTGGGGAGACTCGGACAGTTTGGTCCGTGACTTGGAGAGGAGCGTCAACATCTTGAAGAGTCTCGTCGATGCCAACAAGTGCGACAAGCAAGTCAAGAAGAGGCTGATACAGCACGTAATCAAGCGGCTCGTCACCGCAAAATATACGGACGACAGGATCGAGCATAATCTGGAGGACAACGTTCCCTGGAACCCGGACGACGCCAGAAATAAGGTCTACAGAGCCGAGTTGCTTCAGGCGTTGGCGAAGAAGCACAGCACCACCGAGTCCTCGGACGAGTGGAACTTGCGGAAGAAAGACACGTCCACGCAGAAGTCCGCCGGTACCACTAGCGACGTCATAAAGGAAGTAGCGTTGGAGAGCAGCAACAGCGACAAATTTGACCGCCACACAGACAGAACGGAAATGGATGGTAGGAAGGCACGACTGGGACTGAGAACGGACGATTGTCAGCAGAGCAGCAACACCACGACGGATCCTGACAAGAGCGAGAGCTCCGAGTGCTTTGTGCCGCAGCGCAATCACAAGAACACTAAAGTAAACGAGATTTTCTGTTACAAGGAGAACTGCAAGATGCCGCACAGGGAATCGACCACGACGAACAGTATACCGCCTCCTGATCACAATAGGATTCTGTTGGATGCCGTTGTGAACAACAGAAGAACGCCTATCGAGTCCAACAATAATACGGATAACAACACGGACTGGCGATTACCTACCACATCATCGGAGAGGCAGTTCGAGTTGAAGAAGTGCAGTGTGTCTGAATCTGGCGACTCCAAGCTCGTCAATTACGCCGAGATGGAGAAGAGAAATCAACTCATCTGGATCACTAATGAGATCAGTCATCTCTGTAATTTGAAGAAGTGAGTCCCACATTATTTTCTTCATTTTCATTTCTAATCTTTAATTTATATATAGAAGTGATGATCAAACGTTAAATTATCTTTTCTCTCTATACAAAGCAAAGAAATTTAACATTGCATTCTTCAAATTGACCTATAATTTATTTCTCAGACTGCTGGAACAACCCAGACGTCTGGAAAGATCTAAGTCTTCGCCGAGGAAAACCAAATCAGCGAATTTCAAATCGAAACAAACAACAGCGCTCACTTGCAGACGAGAGCAAAGTGCAGGCACTATGCATAGGTACAACATTTTTTCTTACCTGATACAATACAATTTATGCACCATTTATCTTGTCATTTAGCAAATTATTAATCGTTTCGTTCTATTTCTAGAAATACGTCCGATTTACATGACGATTCCGTCAACGAGCCGTGGTCGTCTCACTGTAACTTGGCGACATGCGAAGCTGCGAGCGACAGCGTAGCTCAGAGGATCATGAAGCGCAACAGTTGCACGCAAACAACCTCAAGCGTATCCAACGCTTACTCGAAGACCGGAGGGGAAATTGTGTCTGCATGCCGAACACGGAACTCGACTGTGAAACGCGTCGCTGTCGGTGTGCAAACACTGTCACGAGAGGTGTTCCTGACGCCGACGACGTCGATGCAATCGGATGTACGTGACACAAAGTACACGAATGCGCAAGCCCCACGTATGCGTTTCCAAGGTAACGCCAAATGCAGAGACCAGACCTGCCAAAAGCACAACGCCCAGGTCGTGCAGCGTACGTGCACGCGATGCGTCAATCAGAGCTCGTCTGACACGACCAGACCACGAAAGAGCTTCCCAGGGGACGCGCCAGTTGTCACGCAGCAGACGCAAACAAATTACGCGAGCGACAATAGCGCAGCTTTGATGGAGGCTGCTTGTCATCACGCAGCCCAGAGCAATAGCGTCCAACACAAACAGAAAGAGGCTAAAAATCAAATCAATGCTTCGAAATCAAAATGTAATTGCGTTCGCATCGCGCACTCGTCCGTCAGCGACAATAAGTACGGATCAAGCCAAGTCGAAGCTAAGCGGGTGGAATGTCACAAGAAAGCGTTGTTCACAATATGCCCCATGTGTTCCAAGCAGAAGCCCTTTGCAGAAGTTAATAATGGCGTTTGTAATTGCGGCGTGTGTCAGAAGAATCCCTCCTGCATGCGCGAAAATAATTCGGGGGATGGTAAAACGTGTGCTCATACAAGCGAATGCGACGATACGTCGGATGTTAACGACGCGGACAGGAGGATCGTCATCGGCAAGTCCCGACAGAACTGTAACGCTGACGGTCAGAGCAGACGCGTGCTGAACTTCAACGAACAGAACGGCAACGCCTGCGATTGCACGAACGATTGCACCACGTGCCAGACTCCGGGAATTGCGACGGAGACATGCGAATGTTGTTCGAGCGGCCAACTCGAGGATAACGGATTGTGTCGTTTTGACTGTCGGTTGAAAATAGCGGAACGTCAACCGCTGACGCAGGTTTACTCCGACAGTTCGCAGAACGGCGACATGATCGCGCAACAACGCAAAGTACAAAGTAGCTTAAGATGCAATTGCAACGAGGCTTGCTCCTGTAACAATAATCAAGCGAGAGATGTCGTACAAGGGAAGATGCGCAGGAGTTACGCGTCGAAATCAAATTTCGTAGACGACAGCAATATCAATAGGACGGAGAGAAATTGCAAGCATTGTCGCGCGTGTGGTGCCATGTATCAGAATACTAGAAAATGCGGCTGCCGCCAAACGTTTCCCAAAGCAGTCGCGTATGAATTGTCGTTCACGAAGGAGAGTACCATGAAAAGTGATACCTCGGATATTATTCAGATAACGCCAAAAGCTCCGTTTGCCAAGCAACCGTCGAATACTGCGAAATCCGATGTCTGTCCTTGCGACATTATAAAAAAGAACGGTTCCAATAAGAACTCTCATCAAACGGCCACGCTGCAGGTAAACTTTCCATAAAATTTCACAAGCGAGTTGCGTTTCAGTTACTTGAAAATAATCTCTATTTTCTATGTCAAAAGTATAACGTTCCAATTAAAATCTCAAAGAGTTTCGTACGTGACGCAACGTACTTTTATGATATCATTTAGAATTAACGATCATTTGATCGATTGATTCAGTTATATCGATTTTAGGACTACTTGTCTAAGAATAATCCTGCGTTTATGGGAAACGCGGAAACGCGTCGACAATATCTGTCGGAGATATGTCAGCTGCGAGAATTGAGAAAAGAAAAACGTATACAATTATTAGCGATGGCCAGCACGTCTAATATCATTAAATGTACGCAAGTACCGAAGCCAACAGGTAAGTCTACCCATGTCACACATCTGTCGAGTTAACGAACTACTCTGTTATGTTCGAGGACAAAATTGACTTTCCACGAATCGTGAATGTACGACGACTCTATTTCTTTGACCGATACCTTCTCAATATGCTTGTAGTTTGCGTGCAGAGGAAAATTAGCGACCAGGAGATGAAGGAGCGATTACGTAAGCGGTATCTCCGGCTGAACGAAGTGCGATTCAAACGACGACAGCAAGAGAGACAAGAAGAAGCACGTCGAAATAAACTTATGGCGAAAATTTTCTGCAAGAGGCTGCAACAAAAGGTTTTGAGGGGCCAAGTAGATTTGTCTCAAAGCGTCAGCGTAATATCCAACTTGTAGAGTTATTAATGCCTATTCGTGTAGAGTGCCTTTTTATCTTCGTAAATATCCAGAATGTGAGAGACATTTCACTTTTTTATAAACATTCATTATCGTTACGGACGGTAGAAGAGTTTTAAAATACGTCGTTTCTTGAAGACAATAGAATCGATTGTATTATTTCAGATAGTTGCGTTAAAATTTTTATTATTATGATATTCTGTGTGTTCTACAGTAAAATTACACATTGAGACTTGAATTCATGACTTATTTATGGTTATCGAATATATTGCAGGTGATTATAGCCTGACCTAAAGTTACATGCGTAACTTTATAATCGAATTTATTTTTATGCAAACGACATGACTATAACCAGTACAAATTGATATCAAACGTTTTTTTTTTAGAAAAATTTTATATATTACAAGTAGGAACACATCTTTCAGGGGAGGATGTGGTTTTATCATTTATTATATTATATAGAATTACATAAAAGAAACGTGTGTATTCTGACTTGATCCTAAACATAAGCGTCCTAAACGTAGGATCATTTCAACATAAAATCGAAAATATTAGCAATAATATAATTCATGTTTATTCGTTACATAGTATAAAGAAGTTGCAGTTATATAGTAAAACATATCACTGATATACCACCGATCAAAAGTGAATGCTTTAAAATAGGAAGCATAATTATATTACGTAGTACCTGAATCTCGTAGCGGGATTGTAGCCACAGGAGAACAGAAGAGAGCATTGCTTATCTTCCCTATAGATCTGAAAAGTATATGTACAAGTATGAAATACTAAAATCAAGATAAAAATTCTGTAAAATGCATGCTATCTGCATCTCTGTGGCTACGAGTTCGTCTACGGTATAGTATATCATAATACTTTTTTATTATAAAGTGTAAAGTAAGATTTGCTAATAAATTCTTAAAATACATGTAATCTAAAAAAAAACGTCATCAGGAATTTGCATTTTATTTATCTATTTATTTTCTTTCATGTTTCTTTTCCTATTTTTTTGCGAGTCTGCCAGACACACTTCGACTTTATTTTATTATATTTTTTCAGTCACCACTGTGGTATCTATAACGGCTATAAGAATAAGCGCTGTAATTTATATACGTCTTAAGAAATAAGTTCACAAAATTTGCTCTTTTCATTGTTACTCTTACATAAAACGCATGCACTCGCAAGGGAATTTACTAATTACATTTGTTGCAGATTGCAGTTATTTGCAAGGTCGTTGTAAATCGTTGTTTTACAGCTGTCGTTAATACATTGCAACTTTATATTACTGAATTGTCTCAATATAATACGTGAAGAGAAAAATAATGATAGACCATTTAAAGAGAGACAGATTTGAGAGAGAGAGAGAGAGAGAGAGAACAATTCAAATATCCTGCATTTTACTATAAAGTTTTATGTACTTTTCTATTTATCGAGAAAATTAGTTTATATATCCTTAAATCTAAAAAATTCTGCATATTATTTTTATCACTTTATTGTCTGAGAGATATTGAAATTGTTTAAATAATTTTTCTCAACGTTTAAAAATATGTTTTTCTCTATCTCCTACTATATTTTATATTTTTCCCTTTTTACCATTTCTTAAATCTAATTTCTTAATTGTGCCTTTCTACATTTTTTAGTGTTTTTTCTCTTGCTCCAAAGACCGACTAAACATTCCATTCTAAAGCGCAGGAAGTGTAATGTGAGTGAGAAGGATAACGTTTTCCACTTCTTATATCATTTGGAAATTCGGATGCTTGTAAAATTAAAAAGAAAAGTGGAAGAAGATACCTCCCAGAGATTTGCAAAAGCATTCTAGAATATCCTGAAAGAAGAACATGTACTCGAGGACCAGAACGTTACTCAAGATATATTGTCAGCATCTTGCAGTTCAGCGGCAATTATTGTACCATACTCGGGAAGTCCAAAATATGACTAACTGTCGAAGGAACATCCGATTCTCACGGCGAACTGGATTCCAGCGACGCGATAATGACCGCGACTAGCCGCGGATTCGTTTTAACATCGATTGGTCTCCCGGTACCACACAGACGAACGAATGTGTACTTTCTCTTCGGGAATGTGTGGTCGTAGTGGTTGTGCGTTAATCGCGCACCGCGAAGGCCGATTCGGCTTTCTATTCACGTTTCCGCTCGCTTCCGCTGCGAGAGACGACAGTGCGTCGGAGTGCAGCGGAGAACTCGCGGTGAACGAGTTCACCGCAATAGAGAGTAAGGAAAGTTGATAGTTGAAGGTACGGGGGATCACCGTTACCCGCCATTGTCGACCGTTACCGTATGCGTGGGACCACGTCGAATTTATCCACGGATAGAGTCCGACTTGATTATGAGATCGTGACAGTTCTCGACGATAATCTACGATAGATATTGTTCGTTCATTTCTATTAATGAGCTAGTCGTCTTCTCGCACGTTACTAAGCTCTCAGAGGAAAAATGAAGCGATGGCAGGTGTCATGAGAACGAGGAGAACAAGTGTTCTTGTGACATTTCTAGGATGTTTATTGTTCCCTTACGGTAATTATTAACTTTGACAACATTTTATCATGCGGAGATAAGCGACTTTGTGAGAAAAGAAGGAAGACTTGAAAATTTTGAGATTGAGCCGACCGAACGTCGAAGATATCGCTTCATCCGGCATCGATGTCTCTGATGAATACATCAGCTGCCATATGAGAAATGAGAATTTAAAGAATTCAAATATATTTTTGCGAATTTATTTTTAAACTTTTATATATATATATATATATATATATATATTTGATTTTATGAAGTATATTCTTTAGGATTATTAATAAATATAAAATTGACAAAATGTTAACAGCATACGCGCAAGAAGATAATGGCGAATACAAAGGGAAATACCTGGGAAAGTTGAATCCATATCATCATCAAGTCTCTGGTGACGTCTGGGCTGTGGACCAGTATACCTTGTTGTTAACTTCGTTTAATTATGATGGTAATGGAGCTGACACGTTTTTTTGGGCAGGAGCATCTAACAGGCCAGGACCTCAAGGATTTATTGTTCCTGATGAGTATGGCAAGTAAGCTGTGTTTCTTTTCTTACAATCTTCTCGTAAATATCTACACAAACCAGGTACCAAATTTTAAGAAATCTCATGTTCTGCATTAATAATCGCTTATTTTTTCAGGACAAATATCTTGCTGCGATACTTTAACAAGGATTTTACGTTGACTTTGCCAGATAATAAGAAAATAACGGACATCAAGTGGTTTGCTGTGTACGATTTATCGAGCCAGGTACCGTAAACTTTATAAGCTATGTGTTATGATGTGATATGTGAAATTATTATTTCATACCTGACATGATAAATGTTTTCACAACGGACAATTTTGACTCCAAAACATTTGCTTAACTTTAGAACACTTTTGGTGATGTGTACATTCCGGAAGAGTTCGATCCACCCGCGCCTCAGAAGATATCACAGTTAAGTAGAAGATCTCATAATGTTTCGTCGGAATCTATCGTGATTTTGGACTCAAAAACTATCAGCATACCGGAATTTATCTATGATGGGGAAGGTATGGATACGTATTTTTGGGTCGGTCTTGGCCCACAACCATCCAGCAAGGGTCAGAAAGTTCCCGACGAATTCGGATAGTAAGAAAAATAATTGTTATTATATGGGAAATCCTAGCTTCTAAATTCCAAAAGTGACCTTTCCTTTTTAGCATGGATTCTCTTAGAACGTACAACAATGAAAACGTCATATTGGAATTGCCCGGCGATATGACTGTTTTCAACATAGATTGGCTGAGTGTTTTCGACCTGAAAACTAAATCAAACTATGGCTCCGTCATCATACCGGATGGACTCAATGTGCCGCCGTCGTTGATCAAAATCATTAAGCAAACGCAGTCTCTTCCGAATTGCGTTCAGTTGCACAAACGCTACCAAGTCGCTTGGGAAATCTTCGGGCCACAAATCACTATCCAATTGGCAGGTCAAGTCGGTACGTATACTTGACTCATTATGCTACGTCTCATTAATGTGCAAAGTAATTGGAAGACTTTAATTTACTCAAACGTCAATCCTTACATTCGCCAAATTAGATAACTGGAATTTCTACTGTGCTATGCTTGTTGTAATTAACATGTGTCTCAATATTCCAAGATGAAGACGAATACATGGCATTTGGTTTGTCCGGTTCGGAGGATTCCAGTCGAATGGAAGGTGCGGACGTAGCCGTCGCGTATATGGACGGCACTCGCGGATACGCTACGGATTATAATATTACAGCAAAAGCACCAGTACGTATAACATAATTATTCAAATGTCACTTACATAAAATATAATTCCATGAAAAGAGGAAAACACGGGAAACGGCGCATTGATAAGTGTTTTCGTAATCATTAGTGTGGGAAAGTTCTCGGCCAGTACAAAGGCGTTTGCAGAGACGAGCTTCTTGGCGGTTTGGACAGTAACCAGCTCTATACCGCAGTAAGAGAAAATGGCATCAACATCATCACGTACAGACGTACGCTCATTCCATGTGAGTAACGTAATCGTGTACGTATAAATCGTTAAGATATAGATCGTCCAAATTCTACTTTTGTACAGCCGATCCTGGAGATAAGGATTTCCCTACGGAGAAAGCAGTGTATGTAGTCTGGGCTTTGGGTAGACTCGATAAAACCAACAACGAGCCCAGCTTTCATGATTTGTATCCGAGGAGCGATGTAATGCTAGAATTAAATCGCAAAGAGCCAGAGAATACCTGCATCGACTTCACAGAGAGTAACAATAAATTCTATGAAAGGTGCGCGGAAAGATGGAGTTTCGTACTTCAACCGAAACGTTAAACTCTTGCCCCTAATATGATTTCATGCAACTGACCGTAACATTGCTTCCTCTGTAGAGAACCTTGGCAGAAGGCAGAAATATTCGACAGAAGTGTTCGAATCTTCAGAGCGACAATCGGACCTTCTGGAGGAAAAAGAGGATATCAAGGAATTACGGGTATATGAATTAAAGCATTTCTAGCTCCACCAATTATTTCGTCCTTCTTCCTCGTCTTCTTCTCCTTCTTACATGTTGTCGCGCGGAAGATTCAACGAAATTGATCTAATAGGTGCACCGTCGGTGGGTCTTGCATGGTATATCGAGGGTACGCTGATACCTGAATTATATTTACGTCGAGGTTTGACATACAACTTTCACGTGTACGGCGGTAACAATCCGCACAGCGCGGAGCTGTATCATCCGTTAATCATAACCGATGAGCCTCATGGCGGGTACGATACGCTCAGCGATCTCGCGCAAAGCAAGATCAGAGTATTGGCTGGCGTCGAACTGACTAGAAGAGGTCGGCCACGACCCACCGCAGGTTCGTACATATTCAGATTTAAATTTAAACATTATTCTAAGGTTTTATATAACGTTATACACGTTATATTACTTATAGATCAGTGTGAAGTTTACCGCGCTTTTTTATTCAAATTTATCGTATTATTCTTCTAGTCGGGCCACTTTGTTTAAGTAAACACCACGGTCGAGACAGGAGACTGGACGACAACTTTCCATCGTTCAAAAAATTCAACCGGACCCTCGTGCAATCTTGCGAACCAGGTAAAGTTATTCTTCAATTCGGGCAAACACCCGGCGATTTGTTAACATACGGTGAGCGTGTCTTATTAATTTATACTGTGCATTGAAAGTCTGATCTACTTTCTTTTCTTCATATGCAGGAGAAAGCGGCATCTTAGTAATAAGTCCAAATTCATCATGGCCCGATCTGGTGTATTATCACTCGTTCACACACGCAAACATGGGATGGAAGATTCATGTAGTCGATTCTTACACAAGAAACGACGCGATCACACATAAATTATCATTTGTCATTGCAATCGCGATTGTGTTTTACCGTTTACTATAAAATTATCTATAAGAAGCAGGAAAGTATTGCGGCTCTAGATTTTTTACGCATATAAAAATCCGTTAAACTAACGTGTCGATATAATCTTTATGATATGATAGTAAAAATGATAAATCATTATGCGTCGCTTAATTGGAAAATCAAGAAACTAGCATGATGGTTCCTATATATGTTACGTATATTATAAATTTGTATTTAGTAATCAATTAATATCAAATAATTTTGAACTGCAATTAAAAATATATCTTCTCTGTTTTTAATTTCTGTAAAAAGTGTTCAACTTTTTTATACTTTTTTATTTTATATTAAAAATAGAATGAATAAAAAGATAAAAAAGAATATCAGACATCGTTACATCGTTGTAATATCAGTTTATTTCGTACATCGTTAAATGGCCTAATAAAATAATATGAGCATACAAAAGAATGTATGTTAGATATGTGGTATGTGATGCGCTACTGTGTTTGCTACTAAATAATGAAAAAAATTGATTTATAAGCGTATTCTTAGTATTTATGTACTACTTAAGTAAAAAACCAACTTTACTTAAGTATATGACATAATGACGATTTTAAATCAATAAATCTGTTATGATTAAATTTTTGTTTTGGTAATTGTAAATTTCTATATATAAATTATATAATGAGATATATCATGTGATTCATTTATCATATATTTATATCATGAGGCATTTTTGTCAAATAACGTATCAACCAATCAATATTAATACCAATCATAAACGATGCAAATATGTGTAACAAATTATAGCGTACTTTATATTAAGTCGAACACGAGACATATGAATAAAGAAAGTATAAAGAAAGCAAGTCGATTTCTCTCCTACTATAATCTAAGCAATGTCTGTACAATAATTTGTTCTGTATTATTTTATTTCTTATATTATCAGAACTCATTTTTTTATAGCACCGCAATAGAGTTTTAACATTGCATTTTTCAAAACCAGCATTGTGTGATTTATATTAATAGTTTCAATGCATACACACACACACACACAACAAACAGTAGACAGACACGCGCACGAACACACGCACACATGTATATTGCAAACTACGAGAGCACGCTTAAAAATATAGATCAAATAGATAAAACTAAGATAAAAAATAAATTAATTAGCAAAACTGATAAACTTTAACACTACCCTAACTTTACATCTTTTTACTACATGGTAATTATGCATTTCTGCTTCTCTAGTCTCTGAAACTAGCAATCTCACATTGCTGGTAATGGCAATGTTTAAACGCAAATTGTCTTTAGAGTTAATATTCAAATTTTGCTTAGTAGATACCGGAAAATCCTATACCACATCACCTCGTTGCATAATAATATTTCAATAACTGTACATGCTTCACAATTTTCCAGTTATCGCTTAACATCCTTTATGAGCAAAAAAGGATTGCTCTATGATAAGCATATCAAAATGGTGCTTAGCGTTTGGAAAAGCTAGGAAGACTCAAATATTTTTCATATGTCCAGCTGTCGCTATCAACATTCATTTTTTTTTATAGATAATAATAATGTGCGTAGCACATCATCAGTCAAATCACGTGAGTTAACGTACAGAGGTATTAAAACGATATTTTACATATTGCAGAGTATCTAACTGAGAAGTTAGTTCACATTGAAGAATCTTCATTCAGTCTTTTCAGTTTGATACCTTAAGCCTGTCTACCGCTGCATTTACAACTTAGATCATACTTAATAGGAGTTAGCATTCTAAAAATAGTACTTTCTTTAATTAAAATTCTGATATTAGTATAAATCTCACTATTTTATATTATGTGTGCTTCACCTATGACTTGATTACAATTAATATTAATTAATTAATATTAATCAATTATGAATATTAATAATTATCATAATATACAAATCATCGCTATACATTCATAATTCCTTTGATATTGTCACACATACATTTTAGGTTATGATAAATTACATTGTATGGTTGTTCTCAATGCGCAAAATGTTTGTATTTGAAAAAATATTATTATTATTATTATACCATTATTATCAATGTCATTCCTTATGAAGTTCTAGAAAATAGTGTAACGTAACAGGCAAATCCGTCCGCGAAAGTCCATATTTACAAATAGCCTGCGCGGCGTGACACTGAAGGCTGATATAATTAACAAGTTTCACTCTGTTCAATGGATTGCATGATAGCAATCGCGCTGGGGTATCGCCTGCTTTATTTGGTGTATCTAAATGCGCGCCATAATCCAATAATAATTTCACAAGCTGTTTTAAAAAAATTCCTAACGTGAGTTTTAGATGCTCGATAAAAGCAAATTTTAGAAAATATTGAAACCCAAATATACTTACATGATTATCAAAGTTACAGCCTCTACTCGCAATATGTAAAGGCGTCGAGCGTAAGATATTTTTTGCATCGACATATGCTCCACATTCTAAAAGCAATTTAGCAACATCCATGCGTGGAAAGATCGTCTGAAAATATTGAATACATATTATTATATAAAAATGAGATATTTCGACACCATTTTTCGTACATAAATTTGTTCTATTTTTTAGTAACAGGAATATCGTGCGAGCGTAGCACGGCGGACTACACAATAGTCTACCGCGCTATAGAAGCCCGGGTTCGATTCCTATAGGAAAGGAAGATTTTTCGGACGCTCGCACTCCCCTCGGTAGGGCAAACCTACGAGAGTATAGGATAAGAAATATAAGGATAAGAAACCGAAAAGGAAAAGAAATTTACCAATATAATAACCAATATAATAATTACCAATAGGATAAGAGAAAAATATAAGGTAAAGAAAAGATATATATAAGAAAGGAAGAAAAGAAGAAAAGGAATAAGAGAAAAAATATATAAAGAATATAGATATAAGAATATAGATAAAAAAAATTGTAAATGGATACTTCTTGGCGAGAAGTTGAAGTGGAAAAATAAATACAGATACATAGTAACAGGAATATCGAGAGAAATTTTCACATAAACTGAAAAAATAATTGCTAAAATCATTTAATATACCCTGAATTAATTAAAAGTGGTTCTATAAGTGTGTGTGTTGTGTATGTATGCATGTGTGATACCTTGTATAATACTTTAATGATTCATTACTCAACATAAAACAGCCCCCATAACAAGTAAAAATTTAAACTTACATGTACATCGTCCGCAGGATTAAAATAATTAGAATTGACAGTATTTAAACTAGAAACGCATAAGTGAAGCAGTGTATCCCCTGTATACACAGATCTTGGATTTTTCTTTACTAAATCACGGACTAATTGGTGCATTAGATCTTTCTCGTCTTCAGATCTTGCTGTTTCTACTAACAAGTAAATAAGATGCGTTACGCACTTCAGGATCCGTTCGTAACAATCTTTTTGTCTCTTATGTACAGGACGTTTCTATAATATAAAAATTTATGTACAATTAAAACAATCGATAATATGCATCAATTAGACAGATAATTAATCCTTCACGAATTAATCAAATATGAAATCTGTACAAATTTACCTCTAACAACTCTCTAGCTTCTGTTAATTGACTAGAGAGTAATTTAAAGATCGCTACTACATCGCGAAATCTTGGTTCTTGTGTATCTTGATTACGATCCATCACTTCCAAAGTTTTTTCATTCAGATCCACCATAAGCCTCAAAAGTACTTGTGCGGCGAAGCAGGTATCAGTGTACAAAATCTGTATAGGACATTAGATTAAACCAGATGAATTTCTCGCAGAAAAAAATTACACATGCGCATGCATATATATGCAAACATTGAATGTACTTCACGTACCGAATCTTTCTCAACTCTAATCTCTAATGCTCGATACCACAAATCTATACAGTTTTGATACCTAAAACAAGATGACAATAGAGATGGAATAATTAGAGTACAACCTAAAAATCCTGTTTCCATATATTTACCTGAGCGCATCTGCATAGGATGCACCCCGAAACATCAAGCGAAAGAGTGTATCCTTATGATGTGGACCTAATATTCTCTCGCATATAAGTAAACTTTGTATTCTAATTGCATCTAAATCAAGTGCAATAGTATTCAATTCTTCCATAGTGGCGAATTCCCGAGCGTTTCTATAAGCCTCACATTTTGGTAGTACAGGTCTTTTTAGTAGAGGCACTCCGTTAACCGAATGAGCGATTCTAATGGCCATCGCTGTTCGCCAATATCGCAATGCCGTATGCGTATCGTTATGATCATCAAAAAATGTAGATCCCATCAATTCATTTGCATCTGCCAATTTTTCTGGTGAATACGCTACTGTGTCCACTAAAAAATATCATAAGTATTATTTATCATAAAATATTATTTATCATAAAAATATCATAAGTATTATTTATCGCAACGTTGGTTAAATGACAGGAAGAGCATATAAAGAAAAAATTTGTATCTTTTACCACAGAAAATAAAAAACTATGTAGTATCTTTAAGAATCATCCTCACCTAAATATTCGAATATACTAATAGATCCTTTAACGCAGGCAGTTTGGAGAGCATCGTCATTATATCTAGACTTAAGATGAGGATCTGCATTGTGTTCTAAGAGGAGTTTAGTAGTTTGAAGTCTATGTTCTTGAATAGCGTAATGTAAGGCAGTTTTGTTTTGAATATCCGTTGCATTCACATCAGCACCATGTTGCAAGAGATAGGTACATAACTCTACACTTTGTACAGAATTTATCAAACATGTACCGCCATTATAATTTGCTTTCAATATATCGGCACCGTGTTCTACTAAGTAAGAGACGATATCTGAAAAATATCATTTATAGTTAAAGTTATTTCATTAACCATCCATACAGTCTTAAATCACGCTACATCGGAAGTCATATATATAAAGTAATATTCATACCGATGAATTATATCTATGATTAAATTTTGATATTTGGCAAAGATATATCATTATCAGATTAATGTTGACTATTTTCTAAATTAATAATGAATAGAAATCATAATGAATGACACCACAAATGATCATCTATGATGGCTATTAAACGTTAGAAAAGAATAAATGTTGGCGCAATTAAATCTTGGCACATAAATCCGACCTAGACCTACATACAGTTGTATTCTTATTCCAATTCGACTTAATCATACTGTAATCTTGCTATAAAACAATTCTATGCTTAATATTTTTATCGTAGACATTATTCTGCAATATCTTTTATCTTAATATCATTCTAGATATATAAATTTATTACCCAAATGTGTCATGAAGCACGCAGATCTAACAGGAGTAGATCCAGAATCAGAAACTGCATTGATTTCAGCTCCATGAGATACAAGGCATTTTATAACCGTAAGTTTTCCAGAAACAGCAGCGCACCATAGTGGTGTAACACAATGAACAGACCTTTCGTCGGGCACTTCATATTTTCCTTTTTGTTCAATATCAGCACCACATATAGTAATAAGGTACTCAACAATCTCAACACTACCCCTCTTGCAGGCAATGAACAAAGGAGCACATCCATCCTTTGTTCGAGATACAATCTCTCTTCGTACATCCTTCTTATATTTCTCTAAACGATTTCTGAGAGCGTAAGTCAACCGTGCCCCAGGTGCCAAACATTTACATTCATGAATAAGATCGTAAAATATTTGATCCATGGAATTTTGTCTATAAGCACCAATCCACATTGCCTATTGTCAGAGGTGACTCATGTGCGCTATCTTCTGGTTCATGAAACTAAAAAAAAGTTTATTTTTAGTAAGATGCAAACTAAAGAGAGAGAGAGAGAGAGATATCAAATAAATCTTATTTTAATTCATTATAATACAAAATGTTGTTTTTTAAATAGTAAATATACTTGTAGGCAAGATATGACACTAAAGTAAGAAACTGATATTCTAACGCACTTCCCATTAATAATAGACAAAACTACAAAAGAATGGAATAGCAGTGCAAGCAGAAAGCTGCACAATAAGAAGTAACAAGGAAGTGCTACATGTATATATATGGAAATATATGGAAATATATATATATATATATATATATATATATATATATATATATATATATAATAACAGATTTGATATTTATAGCATCCTTATTTCTTCGATTTTTTCGAAACGTATATCGTGCAAAACTATATGAACATTCAAGGATAAGGAATATTATACATACACACACACATAGATACACGCGCGTATGTTAAATATTCACGTACAAATTACAGGCTCTTTTAATGCACATGTCCGACACTTGACATGTCTGCACGATACGTGTCTCAAACAGAATCGTGATATTATTAGCGTGTATACAGCACAAAAGAGAGAATGAAATATAACCTCCAAACCTACGTGATACGATTACACGCGTATAGTAGTCGTGTCCACTTTCGGCGCACCACGGCGCACCGCGTGCACTTCGCCACCGAACGTATCAGAACTCACACACTGCGTAAGCAAGCACCCGCGAGCAAACAAAAGCAAACACGCATATGCATTAGTAATTTTCAGCGCATTGTAAATGACAGACGGCAATCAATAAACCACGTGATTTGACGGTCACGTGGGCCGCCCGCGCATTGCGCGACGCTCTGTTTTTAATTCGATTCTCGATTTTGGTCAAATATAAAAATTTCTTAATTTGTAAGTTGGTCGTCTAATTGTAAAAGAAAACAGACATATAACCTCTCTTTCTTTATCTCTCTTCCTCTTTTAATTGGAAAATATATAAAAATAAGAAACATAATGTAACGCAAACGCTTCGCTCGGTTTTTTCTTCTTGCAATAACCCAGCAAATACAGTTATATCAATGGGTGCGTTCAGGAGATACAACGGTTACATAACAGTAATTAGTCAACGTAATTGGTCTAAAATTAGGGATCTAGCAGTAAGGACCAATAACCACTAACCGTTCACTAATCAGTTATGTTTTCTGAACGCAGCCAATGTTATATAACTGCAACAGAAATGATTATAATAGATAATAAAAGTTATTGATATGTTG